CTGCTGCACTAAAGGGAGTATAAAGGAACACAGCCTGGTGTGCAGGGAATGTCATGTTTCGACAAAATAAGGGAAGTGAATCCGTCTTAGATAGGAAAGATGTGATTATGTGGAGACCACATTCTTTCATTCTCATACCTTTAGCATTGTACACAGTATTCTGACAGGCACTGACCAAGTCAACTCAGGGGACTTTGTCAAGATCAGCAGCAACATAAGGACCCAGGGACACAAATGAAAAATATGTTTAGAGTCACTTAAGACTAACAGGAGATGCTTCTTTACATGGGAGATTATAAGACTGGATTCTACTCTAGTCATGTTGCTGAAGGTGACTCAGCAAGCTTTAAGAAAAATGTATTATTCTTAGATCATTAAGCTACCAGCAAATAAACTAGATGGGTTCAATGGCCTATTCTCATGTGCAACCTCTTAGATGCTTATAATCAATGTCTTAAAAGTGAGTCATGATAAGTTTCTTTCATGACGGCAAAAAATAAAGAGAAGATAGTGTAGGTTCATGAATCTGAAATTGCGTGAGAGCAAACTGCTGCAGTCTAGGAGAGGGATTTTTACAAACATTGTTTTTCTAAACTAAAATTTCTAAATCTTAACTCTGTTCTCCACTTCATTGTGCCTGAAGGTGAGATTTTCACAGGCTTACACATAAACACACTTCTGAGTGCAGCACTGGGACGACTGAACTCACAACCCATCCAAATATCTCAGTTCAATCTATGAACATATCTGCTGCTAACAAAGTCACATCCTTCATCACTATTTGCAGATTTTTAAATACCTGCTACATTTTCAGGTGTTTTCAAAAATATCTTTATTCAAATGTGAGGTGAGCTGATGGTTTAAAAACAGAACTTGTTGCACTTTTTTATGTACTTTAGTTGTTGTTTTTTTGCCAGTGACTTACAACATTCAATTCATAACACAACACAGTATTATTCTATCATATCCATCATTAGATAGATAAGATCACTTTATTGGCCATGTACAATTTGTGTTAGGAATTTGTCTTTTTGCAGACCCCAGCTTGCTCTCCATGAGACACACAGACAGGGAGAGAAGCTGGGGGTCAGAGCGCAGGGTCAGCCATTTATACAGCACCCCTAGAGCAGCTGGGGTTAAGGGCCTTTCTCAGGGGCCCAACGGAGTAGGATTCCTCTGCCGGCCGCAGGATACTAACCAGCAACCTTCCAGCCACAGGCACAGATCCTGATCTACAGAGCCAACCCCATTAGTTAGGTTAACAGGTTAAAAGCCCTCCTTTAAATTTCAATTAAATAAGATGCATATGGTATTAATGTATTTCCCAGCACACTGAAAATCAGTATAAAGGCCCTTCACCCTTAATGATGTTTTTCTGATAATGTAGAGGATTGTGTTGCTAAACATTTGACTCCTCTATTTTCCCACTATACACCATAGATAAAAAGCTTTTCATGCAAACGTGCATGAAAGCAAAGGTACCCTGGACCACAGTTTGAAGAGTTCTTTTTTATTGCAATAAAAGTAGGATTGAACATTAGCAAAAGTAAAATGAGATAATGAAAATGTCACTGCAGAGCATCAGTAATACAGATATACAGCAAAAAGAGAATTTCCTCAAGGACTTGCTGCAGCCTTCTGCAAGTAAGCTAAGAGAGGAAGGGTATCGTGGAGTGGGCATGTATGTGATGAATGAACCTGTTGGTTTTGGTCACCCCTTCATTATTAAACACCCCTTAACCTGCTTTTACTGCCACCTGAATGTAATCACCTCGGTCTCCCCTTCTTGATCACTGTCTTAGCCTTGTACTTCAAAGTCAAAGCCCGTGGCAATACCCATTACTGGAATGACACCTGATCTCCAGTACCCTTGCTCTCACTTTGACCAAAGCCTCACATGATTCCTGCAAGAATTACAGTAGTCTATCCTCAGAGGCTACGGTATCCTTGTCCCATCTATTCAGACTATGTCTCAAAGCTGTAGCTGTAAACTCTACAGCCCCTTTGACACGTGCACCAGAGACTTTTTCACATCTGACAACAAAGCATTAACTTCCAAACACTCTCAAACATGCCCTGTTTCAATCAAAGCTTTCCACAACGGCATTGTTTTTTAATGTATTATTAAATGTTTTGAATAATATATAGCCTATATGTGTTATTCATGCTGAAGATTGCCCTTTGTCTAGTGTGCAAGAGATTATAGGTTCTTCTGTGAAATTCTAAAATCAATTTGGTCTGATTTGCTCAAACACAAAAAGAGGACATGCTGCCTACAGTCTTCAAAAGTGTGCCATTTAATTTGAGACCCCAGGAACCCACTAAAGCATAGTTGAACCCAAACTCTAAAGCAATTGCCTATTGCCATATTTTTAAACAACTTTGCATGAGTAGACTATAATGGAAAAGCAGGTTTGAGTCACTCCGTGACTCATTTCAACGCCATTTAAGGTTCCCCAAAGAATGGCAAACCAGTCTGAAATAAAACATTCTCAAACATCTCAATAGAAAGAAGAAATACACATTCAACATAAAACAAAGGAAAATATAGTTCATTATAGAAAAATCTGAAGAGATTTTAACATCTGGAAAACATTAAATCAGATGCATTGGCCAAAGTCGAAAATATGGACCAGATGAGAGGTCACACCACAACATGCCATCGTGCACAACACCTAATTTGTCACAAGGCAAGAAAAAAGGAAAATGCAAATCAGGATGCGACTCAAGCTTTCATGAAAATGGAGTTACTGCGAGATAAAAGCCTTCAGCTGAAGTAAAGCAGACCACTCCATGATCAGTCCCTGTCAACATGCTCAACAAAATCCTTGGCACATAGCATCCGTTTCACAATGGAGGAAATGGCTGTCATTCATGCCTATTATGAACTGGGATGGCACCCAGCAAATCCTTTCAAATACAATCTACAGTACCCCTAAACCAGACACCTCCAGCACGGATTACAACAATGACACGAGGCTACACTAGACAGATTGCTGCATGCAGCTTGCTCTCCTGTTAGTCTGTGAGCAACAGTTGTTCTGTGAACAATGTCATTGTTCCAACAGCTGCCTGTTCATAAAATGAAAAGCTAAATGTAACTTTTTTTAGAAAACTCTTCCGCACAATGTGAAATGTGTGCGACATGCAGAAACCAGATATTAATCCTGACAAAAGCCTAACCTGTGGGCTTTTATTTTTGGACATTCACTTAAGTCAGTTGCTGGATTGTTCTGACAACAGCCCACAGTACTGCACAGCACCAGGCTCCAGCTCACCGGGTTTCAAACAGATTTGATGTTAAAGTGTTGTGTCCCCGTGCATACACCTTGGAATGGCTGAAAAGACAACACAGTTAATCCGGAGCCCTGAAAGCACTTTAGGGCCGTGTACCTGCTGTAAGAAAAAAGTGCCTAAGGAGACCAGCCCTATCAATGTCACTCCCACTGTGGCACCATACACACTTCCTCTTATCCCTTCTCGGCTCAGAGCACCTTGGAAATATGTGGCAATACTGAAAACCACCAATACAGGCATCGGGTAGCCTGGCGTTACACAAGAGATAAACGGCTACTTTAGCAAGCAGGGTGCTTTGTCAAAAGTAGTGGGGAAGAACAAAAGAAGACACATTGGTTATACCAATCCATGAAAAACAATGCAACGGTCTGAGCCAGTGTCCCTCTCATCCTGTCTAAGACCACCAGTCCCAACATCATAAAATCGTTTCCACTCTATAAGTCAACGGACACCTACAGTACATCAGTGCCCATCTTATTCACGGATCGTTTTGAATGTGGACAATTACAGTAGCTCTGCGGCGGTTACTGACAAGTGTCAACGAAATCAAGTTTCTTAAGTTAGAATTTACGGGATTATTACATGCTAAAGCAGAAACACGTTCCTGCACCCATTCCAGTGGATCCAGTGAACCGAAGGGCTCTGAGAACTGCCGAGCACAAAATTAAACAGATCAGACCAGGCGATTCAGGCATTATCAGGTTAAAAACTCTACGTCTTCTCCCGGTCTCTACATTTAGCATGATCTCGGGGCAAAATTGTGCAGCGGCCAAGTAAAGGCCTAAAACAAGACCTACAACCCAACTTCCCTGTATTATCAGTCAGATCTTCTGCAGAGGCAGTTTGGCATAGAGGAATTATATAAGAGGTAACCCAAAACGGAGCGGTACCGACGACTTGCCAAAATAATAACAGTACGGGAAGCTGGCGCTACACCACTTAATAGATTTTAAAAAGAATTAAACATCAACGAAGATTTTGAAATGATGGTATATCTAGATCCTGAAAAACCGCCATTAACACCAGCGTCAAGAGAGGCATACATAGGACAACGCATAAAATAACAAATTAGAATACCCTGTGCGATTTAAATATCTTTTGTATTATATACGTAATTCCAATAGAAACGGCAGGAGTTTAGATGTTCCAAGATTTGTATGATAAGATTAAAATCAGCCCAGAGAAAATTATTATGCCATCTAAATGCTTCGGGTCTTTTTTGATTATGTTTCTTCTCATCTCAATGATGTCATATAAGTTGTTTGATATGTAAATGTTATTGCACTTGTAATCATCTCAGGCCTCTCTGTGTCTACTTGCTCCAATGCAGAGAAAAACACTGCAATGTTGCAGACCGGAATAATTCTAAAGAGAGGGAGACAAACGCATCTTTGAAGAGATGATGTTCCGCCCTGTCCCTCGCCTTAAAAAAACAACAAAGTAAATGATATTCACTCAGCACATTTACAGAGAGACGCGGTTATATACGATTCCAATAGACTTATTCCCGAATGTAAACATTACAACATACAAATCAAGGAGGGGCTCAAGCAGGGGAGAGAGAAAAAAAAAAGACAAACAGAAAAGCTAAATGCAAGCCTCCGGAATTCTGATCCTCAGCGAAGCAGTGCAAACGCTCGGATGAAACTGTGCAACCGTGACGAAGCAGTGCCCGAAAAAAAACATAATGCAAAAAGAGTTACCTGATTGTTAATTTGCAAGCATTTTATTCCTTGATCTCTCCCATTATAATCGCTTTCACATCTCTTTCATATTTTCAGTGCATCGCTACTATCTCGAGCCGTTCCTGAAAATGGAACATTCCGAGGGTTCCACCACGTTTGTCGGCAAAGGTACGTCCGCCCGCACGGGGGTTTCACGCGCGGGGGGCCGGGGCACTCGGTGGCCGCGCGACCGCAACAGGACCCATTGTCGTGCACCCGGTGGGTTAACTCGCGCGCGGGAACCGGGCGTGCGCCCCGCTGCACGTCTCGGGTGAGGGGCGCCTCTTCTGGAGCTCACCCCCGGCCGTGAACATTTGAGAGCGCTGACTCGAGCTGTGAAGGATACGGGTACCGTAATGATCCTACTAAGGTGACTTAAAGATCATTCCCCCACCCCTCCTCCTTCCCAATGTCATGTTCCGGTGGTGAAGAACGCATTTCATGTAGGTCAGTGGATCTGCGGTTTTAAAGGGTACTTTTATCAGTGCAAGGGTCGCGTCCCGGGTGTTTTGTTCATATACGTGCCGCCGGTCAGCTCCCCGCAGAAGTACTGCCCCGAGTTTCGGATGTGCTCTGGCTTATGTAAGACGCGGGTTGGCCCGGGTTACTTGCATCTCTGAGCAGTGACGGGTGTTCCCTTCTGGCTCTCCGCTCGTAAGGCTGAGCCTGCCTGAGGTCAATGCTTATACCTTTTTATTACGCCGACACAGCACTCGGACACTGCAGTATTAAACTCCCGGTTCACTGTTCGTTGCATTCCGCAACGAAGAGCCATGGATGTGCCCGGCTCGACAAAAAATAAAACGTCTCATGTCACCTTTTTTGAAGTGTTCCATTCCCCCTAGAAGACATCCCAAGGGCGTGGATACGTCAATTGAGCTTATTTCTTTCACACTATGCAAATTGAGCAGTAGTTGAAAAGGGTCCACATTTTCCCCGGTACAGACTTCGCCGCTATCAATATACAGAAAATCGGATCAGGAGTCCTCATTTCCCCCAAATCACTATCCGCGTAGAATGACGGGTTGGGTGCATATATATATATATTTTAACTTTGAGCGGAGAAAAAAAAGCACAAAAACTTCACAAGGTGTTCGTGCCATTTCTTTCTATCTAGTGCAGCAATTGTATTTAAGGAGGAGTTGCACCTCGCACTTCTGGAAACACTGCAAGTTCAACACAAAACACACGTATACAAAATAAATCTCTGTACATGCACGTGTTGATGGGAAGACAAAGGAGAGAGGGGAATGTTTTTTTTTTTTATTTTCTGGAGGAGAAGCATGTGGCATAAGAGGATCCTAAATTTATTTTCATCCACACACAACTGCTGACTGTAACTGAGAATGATCATTCTGTCATCACGTAAGCACTGAAGAAAAAGGAACCCCAAATTGAGCCCAAAGGATCTTCATGGGCAAAAAAAAAAAACGCTTTCCTAAAAGAAAAATGCATTACATATAAATAATCCTACACTGGAGTGTTGGGTTTTGACCCGGGTGCTTCACAAATGTACAAAATCCGTGATTGTGCACTACTAATCATCATCACCGTCGTCAAGTTGAGCAGCAGACCAGGGACAGATGTCTTGCAGTCTGCCTGTCTGACAGCCACACTCCTGATTTCTCCTGCCTGATGGAAAAAAAAAAAATGTAGGGCGAGACACCAGATCAGCTGGTCATCACCTGGTTTCAGCTGTGGAGTATACAGAATTCCCAGATCCAGTGGGAAAGGTTCAGGTCCGCTGGACAACACCTGGTCAGTGTTTCTTGTTTGGTAACGCTGCTGGGTTTTCATGTGTTGTGCTGGCCAAGCAGAAGGCCACTGCAGATCCCTTCTTGGGCAGGGGAGGGAGAGCGTGTCTCAGGTGAGGTTTCAGATCCAACACTGGGAGACAAAATATGGAAAAGATAAAAGGGAAATGAGGACACAGAACACTGACCATGTGTATGAGTAGGAATTCAGATACAGCTCTGACGACCTGCTAGTGGAATTCAACAGAGCACAGTGATGAGGAGGGAAATACTTGCACAATAGAAGCTATTTAGGATTTAGGATCGTGTGCCAGAACACTTTTTCATCTCATTAGGTTGCTGGTGCATTTTGAGGGAGGAAAGACAAAAAAAACTTTAGGGCACAAATTAAACATTAAATCTGCCTGGAGGAACTCTGGAATGCAGTGTAATGTGAACAATTGTTGATGGTGATCTTCTGCATGATGGTGGAAATCTGGAAGTGATCACAATACCACTAAGTAATAATAAAAACATAATAACTTCATAAACGCAGTGATTTGTAATGTGGTGTTTGCACCTTTTTCACATTTTTATTTCTGTTATTTTCCTCATGTACTCTACTATAATTCTGTTTTTTAATAATACAGTGATTTTCAAGTTCTCTTCTTACTGAGCTCCCAGTTACTTAATTCTTTAGTTACAGTATCTAGCCTTTTTAAAAGCTTTTTCTAATGACTTGAACAACTGCAGGTTCCAGGTTAGCTATAAAGATATTTATTATTTTTAATTCAGACTTTGTTTTATGCAGACTCTTTTTTGCAAGGTGACGTACATGAAATAAATAGGTGGTGAGTCAAACAGCAGAAGGAGAAGAAATATACCAAATAAAGTTTCACAATCCATCAATTAGATATTATAAAGTCAATAAAGCATCAGTTGGAGAGATACTGTATGATAAAGTTAATAATTTGAAATAACCCGTTAAAATAACAAATACAGTCTTGTATATTGCAAGGTGGTGAATGTGTAATACAACAGGAAGATAAACTGTAAAAAACATAGAATAATATAATACAATAATAATACGCAGTGCTAAAACGATCTGCAGGTATCTATACAGGGCGTATGACACTGCTCTTGCACACAGTTTACTCCAACTATCCCCGAGCTGAAGAGAAAAAGTCCGTACAGTCAGAGATGGGTCTGTGTTTTAACAGGAGAAATTGCCAGGAGGTTAAATTAATTATTCTGGCCACTGGGTGGCAGCACATACAGCTAAAAATCCACACACCCATCAGGAGCCGGCGCCAGTCTTAACAGCCAGGAGTCGATCAACGGGACTGAAATTGCACCTATAATAATATGTTTCAAATTCAGCACTTCCAAAATAAGACAAAAGTCGATGAAATCACCTGATGCTTTTTGCGACAGAGGTTTACAGAGGTGCTCAGGAGGAGTCTGGCCTCGACTCAAAAAGCGAGTACTTCTTGTTGGCCACCTGATGATGTCATCAGACTTGACTGGCACACAGGAATCGGTGTGTACAGGAAGGTGGTCTCGGCTCTTTCATTCACCTTTCAGTTATTTCACGATTATACCTGTTTGGTGACAACAGGGAAAACGAGGTGGTCACTCATCACATTTTGAGGACTGTATAGTACAGTATCTATAGTAGAACCGCAGTGTGGTAACAGTATAGGAATAATGATGATATAGCCAAAAATAGAATTTGAATAGACTTTTTGAAAATTATATAATCTCGCTGAAATGTATTTTTATTTAGTTTATATGTCTCTCTTAGCTCAGGCCAGTCCAACACTGTATCAATCATCCAATTAATGTTCATTTAAAAGCTATGCGAATGCATTGCATAGTGTTTTACAAGTCACACAGAGGCAAAGTTGTTTTTTTTTTGTATTTCTGTTTTGTTTATTTCTTGCAAACGCAAATAAAATTACTTCGTTTTGTATGTATGCCGAAATGAACCGGCTTATCATCTTACCAAACAATATGACGTGTCTGAAATTTCAGAAACGACACTGTTCTTTTAAACAGAGGTAGAATGCCTACGTACATATGTACATATATATTCCTAACTTTTAATTGCATTTGCTTTGCTTTTGAAAGTTAAAATTTCTCGTCTTCGAAATGTTTACGTATTCCTTGTATTCAAATTAAAATGCTGTCATACGCTATTAAAATAGTGCCCACCAGGGGGCAGTGCAAACGCAACAAATACCGTTTAGTCTATTGTAACTTCTCTGTGCTGTAAATGTTGCGTAAATATTTTTTTATATTTTTTTTTTTTTGGACTCGGATATAAATATACTGATATATCTTTCTACTGCTGAACTAGTTCAAGCGGCACTGGGGATTTTCACTGTGTTCAACGCTAATAACTGCAACCAATCCATTGGTGTAGAGTATTGCAGAGGAGAAAGGACATCTGAAAAGGGCCCAGACAGGTGGGTAAAGGCAACTGTGATTTCAGCTGGCTTGCCACGATGAAGTTAGTCCATGCTTGAGGAGAGCACCACCCTGCCATTTCTAATCTTCCACCACTATTCGTCTCTATCAGTGTGCTACGACATAGTCACGTGGTTTTCATCACGATCCAATGGACCTGCACACAAGTTTATCTCTATTGCATGGAGGTAACACTGATAAATAAGCCTGCAATAAAAATGACAAGTTATGGTTGAACTTTGATAACTATGTGAGACGCACAAGCACAAACGGTATCATTTGAAGCATTTTTATGATAACAGGTTTATCCTTAAACAAGAAACTGAAATTAAAACGTTAAAAAGATCAACTACTTTTGGTTATGGCAAAAAAACAAAACAAAGCACAAACGATTTGTCTAGTCTAGTAGTAATTCAGCAGTGTAAGGTTGTTTTTGAAGTGTTGTCCTGTTTATAAAGAGTTATTGTATGTGGCTCTCTGAGAGACATATAAAAGAACCTATAGCAGTGTGTTTATTTGAGTACACATTATTTCTGTGAGTTGCCATGAAATGTGATAATTTTTGACATGATAAAGATTACACAGCCTGAACAAAGAGAAGACAAATATCATTACCTGTCACATCATTCTTGTCTCTAGCACTTTGACTGGATTTTTTTTCAAGATGCAGGAATAGGAAAAATGTAAGAGATGTTACAGATAGGTGGAAGGCATTTGGCTTAGTGGTTAGCTAGTAGCTAATTAAACTGAGTATCTCCAGCACCTTCCTCCATTAAAGATGACGGAGTATGAGCGTCAACAACATGGCTGTATAGCTTGTTCCATTCCCCAGTAACACTTTGCATGGTAAGCAGCTCCTGTGCTTGGTTTTAAATGTACACCCTTGTACTTTCCACGTGCCTTCTGGTTTGGGATTCGCTGCTGAATCAGAGGAAACCCATTAAGTTGCCCTTGACAGTGCCTTTGAACACTTGAGTGAGGTCTCCTTGTAGTTTTCTCTGTTCGAGACTCAAGAGATTTATTTCTCTGCGTCTGGCAGACAGTGTAGGGCATTCCTTTAAGTCCTCTTTTCTTGGGTGTTCTGTTCTGGACTGATTCCAGGGCGACACTATCTTTTCACTAAAAGATGGTTTTGTAATTTCCGAATACTGTAAGGAGCTCAGAGTTAGCGGGTAGCTCAGACTTGGAACAATGTGGTGACAGATTACGGCTTTCATGGCATTTTAAATATGGGTCAACCACTGAAACTGTCTGGGAAATGTGGAAACTTGAAAATGCGATTTTTGACAAAATGGAACTATTTATGAAATTTGTCAGAGTAGATCCCATAATATTTGATGTCACTACAGTTAATACTACAGGAACCAGCTGTGTATTTACACAGTACATTCGTTATTAGTTGTAACATAAGGATTAGGGTTAAGCGTAGTATTTGCTTAGGTGGTTCTTCAGTATTCTTGCTTTTACCCAGTAGGTAGAATCCATATTTGAGTGTAGAGGCTCAGCATGTTAGACGTTATCCCAGCTTCTGAAGTGTTAAACAGACCAAGAGATGATTCCCCCTTAGAAGGGACACTAATCCATCACAGGATCACTTCCACTGGTGCAATTACACCTATTTTTACAGTTTGGGGAACAAGAGAAATTACAGTAAAGTACTTTTATCAAGAAGACAGAAGCAGTATCTACAAGAACTAGCAGGGACACTCTCCCAGTGACAGTCCAGAGATCTAAACACTACTCAAAGATGCCCCCATGTGTTTTCAAGGGTAACAGTGCCAACAAATGTCCCACAAGCCACAAATACATAAAGCGTCTGTTTTAAATTTTTCTTTTGAATATGAAATTTGTCGTGAAAATTGAAACAAATGGGAAATACAGGATGAATATTTAGACACCATGCAGCTGTGCACTGGCTAATTAGACTGGATTGGACTGGGTGCTTGACAGCTCCTGAACAAGAAAGCAATTAAGCAAATGGAGGGGTTTCTTTCCTTTTGACTATGACTATGGTAATGTACAGGTCGCCGACATGTTATGATGGCAGGTTGTTAAATGATACAGCAGTTGAGCAAAAAGTAAAACATTTTTTGTATTATTTAATAATGTGATTGCAATTTGTTTCGTTTAGTACATTGAAACAAAACGCAGCCCAATACCTTGTAAGTAGCCATCTTCCCAAATGTATCAGAAGGAAATTTAAGTGCAAGGAGGAAATAAAGGCAAGGAAAGAAAGGTCTCTATAGATTTATTGCGAGCAGCAATAAAACAGGTCAACGCAGAAAAAAAAGATGTTTTGAGTTTTCAGAAGGCTTTGTGTATGACATAACTGGGTCATTATTATTTCTGAAGCATCAGTTTGTCTCAGCTTGCCAATATACAGTTGGGCTAATCCTCTTTGCTGTAGACGTCATATTCCTCAATCTTAACATTTTGCTGTGGTCTGAATTTCTTCAGTAATAATATCCTATAAATACATATCAAGTTAAATTGTTTTTTTTTTTTTAAATAAAGTACTCCCGTAAAAGTCATAAACCTTGGATATGATGATTTAGATTGCACTTTGATCTCTGAATACACAGGTTTGTATATGATGCATATGACGTTTGAATATTGATACTGTTTGCTGCCTGCCAGGCTCCACCCAAAACAGAAAAGCTTTGTAGGTATATACATGTGAATGTGAATGACACGCTATAAAACCATAGTTCAAAATAAAGTGATAAGAAAAGTCAATTTCTTACAGTACATAAGTTCTACCTGACAGTTTTGATTCCCTCAGTGACTCTCTTTTAACTTTATTTAGTTCCACTAAAAGTGTATCAACCCAGGTGTCACATACTCTGCTTTCAACTGACATGAAGGACAATTTAGACATCTCTAAACATAAGAGCAGAAAAATGGTTACAAATGACAGGAGACCATTAGGCCCATTAGCTGCAGTGTGATCTACAAAACATTTTAAGAAGTTACAATAATACTCAACATGTTGCATTATTAATGTCTTTTATTATTCCGTATATGTAACAGTGATTATTTGGCATTAATTTTATTTTCAGCATCTCACAGTTTGTCTTTGATGGGTGAAGGCTAAGGAGCACTCAAACCTAAAACAGTATCTTTTTCTGAACAAAGACAAATTTGGCTAACTTGGCCTTGTCAAAGTCCGAAGGAAAGGACCGGTTAAGGAGACTAAAAAAGATCATATCAAATTTCCAGACAGGTTTTATTTGTCTGAATGAGCTAAATGGGTTTCAGTTCAGATGACTGAACTTCTCCTAATTAAGACTGAAAAGTGAAACACAATGGCCTTCTTTGTTTTAATTAATAAGCCTAAATGTAGGCCACTGAGGTTTCTTTTTGTTTATTAATGATAAAAAAAACACTTCAATGGATTATCCTTTGTCTGCATCAGGATAATTACAAGGAGTGACTGGTGGGGGCTTATAATAAGGAGCAGCTCGTTAGTGCCTTTGTGAGCGAGTGGGAAGGATCTTTGGTGATTGGAGAGTTTAGTGTTCATTCGTTGGTACAGAAAATCGCAGAGTAGTTCTCTCCTCATGCATTTTATTAACTTCATTGAAGAATGCCAGATGGGATTTTGATTTAAAATCTTGCACATAGGTATGAGTCATTCACATTGGGAAATATGTGTCAGACTCTACAGGTGGGCCTAAAAGAAACATTAACTAAACATGGCACTGCTGGGGGTTCTGCTAGCAAACAGGTTATTTTGCTTGCAAATCAGTTTAAGGGTTAAAGTATACATTTGCAGGATTACCAACGACGCTGAGTGGCAATATGACAGTTGGTCATTTTAAGCCAGTGATGTTGCCTCTAACAACGTTATTTCAGTGGCTCTCAATGGCTGAATCTTTTACCATGAATTTTAACACACAATCAGTATTATAAAAAACTGATTGTATTTACAACCTAAAAAAGGGAATGAGAGGAACAATATCCATAATTTAATCTGTTGTTAATTTTTTCACCATGGATGAAAATAAGTTGTAATTGACAGTATGTGCTATAATTCAGCTTTACGGAGTTAGACTGAAAAGCACAAGGCCAAATGACATTTTGATTTCACATGGAAGATTACACTTAAAGTTTTCCGAGGGGACAAGCATTTTACCTAATTAACATTTTGGTACAGTAACATTTTAAATGCTTTATTTTTGCAGCTGATGCAGCTACAAGAGAGATTTATCTTGTTAATAGGAGGTACTGTACAAATTCTGTTGTTGTGTTTTTAAGGAGACAAGGCAGTACCACTCACTGTAAATGATTCACATTTACAGCCAGGCGTCCATAATCTCCAAAGCTGTTAATTACTTTTAAAGAAGGCAAAGGTCTGTTTCAGTCTTCTTTCCCTACATTGAGAGGAACACACCCAAGAAGTGACATTGAGAGGAGTTGTCGTCCAAGGTAAATTCAAGCTTTTGTATACTTTTGATGTTTTACAAAAAAAAGTTTTATTTGGTCTTCCTGCTCTTAGGTTTGTAATGCAAAGCTTTTTAAATTTTTCTTTATTGTTATATTGTTTTGTACATTTAAATTTTTAAATAAATTATGAGTATGATATCAGCTAACTACCTACATATTTGGTCTCCATGTTACAGATATCAGGAATACAATATCATTTAATAAATCATTTAATCCAATACAACAGATTCTAATTAAATATGATATGATATCTATTGTTTTGTCAAAGATTTCTAAAGTGCTCATTCTTCTCAGTCCAGTATCTGTTTCCAATTGAATACATCAATTGATGATCAATATTACTTTCTTGGAAAGAAGAAGAGATGAGAAATCTGTAGGAACCAGAGGGTTGGGAGAGGACTTTGAAGTCCAAATTTTGTTCTGAGTAAAAGGAAAAGCTCACAACTTTTCTCACTCAATTAATAACTTACAAAGAAATCAAGGAAACGTTTTAATGATTGCATAGTAGTGTACCATAGACGATAGAAATCTGAGAAAAGCTATAAGAATATACAATATATTCTTCAAAACACGCAACTAATTTGTAGGATTCACTTTCACACTATTACAAATTGCACGATCTCATTCTTGATAACAGCAACAACCCTAAATCTAGTGAAAACAGACAAAACCTTAGACATTGTGCTTTGCCTTAAGGTGCCACTATATTTTCCAGTCTAATGGGATTTGTTAATTAACACACCAGCAAATCTTTTAATTGCTCAATGGGATCACCCAGCATCAGAGTGACAAGTGAAGTGGAATTAGCACCAGCATATTTTTAAACTAGATCCTTAAAACCACTGGTACTGAAAACGTGGTTTCTCCCTCCTTTTGTATTTAAGCAGTAGCAATCACTAAGGCCATCACAAGGTCATGGTATATACTGTAGGTGGTTGTGAGACATTTGATCACAGAGAACCTGTTAAAAATCCAGTATTTAAACATCTTATTTCCTAGCATCTCTTATGAATTGTTTTGTGGTTGCTTTTTGTAGTTTTTATTGAACCTTTCTTCCGTTGGAAAGGTTACTACTTGGGGTTTCTCTTTCCTGGTATTTTGTAAAGGAATTTGGTGTACCTGATGCAATTCTAAATCAATGAATAAAAGATAAGTCTCTGTAAAAGACTCTGTAGGACAAATGTAGTAAAAAGGAAAATTGTTATCTTCAAATAATGAACTATAGTCAATCAAGATGGGAGGTTGGGTGTTCTTAATATGGAAAACATAATATATTTTTAAGCAATAGAAGAACTATATACAGAAGAGGTATACAGTATATAGTAATAATTATAAATAATTATAAACCATATCTCAATCCTTTAGTGCTAAAATTCTGCAGTCTGTACACAAGACAATGTTGTTCTGTCATCAGTCTGTGAGTGATCCTTCCTCAGTACAGAATGGGCCTTCAGTTCTTAAATTCTGAAATCAGTGTATGACGTTGGTAAAGGTTTAAAACGGACATTTTGAAATCAAGAAATTGTGGGTTGTTGATTGCCAGGCTTTTTAAGATTTTGAACATGTTCCTTGTACAGTATAGCGCAGCAGTCAGTTTCTTGGCATTGAGAAGGCAAAAAATGTAAACTTAAACTTGATGCTTTTCCAATGAACATTTATAAAGGAATACAATTGTTTTACCCTTACTTTGAAAAAAGTCTAACACTGTGCTGTTTACAATCTGCAGTAAACAGGTGAGGAACCACCATTGTGTTTCTGTGCCTGTGGTTCCTGCAACAGGTTGTAGGGGGTTTCCCTCTGTTACACTTACAAGATTAATTTTGTTGAGTAAACCTGGAGATGGAGATGGAAGGGATTTAAATGTAACTTAGAGCTTTAATTCATTTCAGTCCAGCCACTGTCTCTAATTTTAGAGTACACGTACAAGTCAAAGATATGTAACACTCTCCCAAAGCTTTATTTATGTGAATGCTTTACCTCGTTTCTAACAACAGTTCCTGTTGTGTTGTGTGCTTGCAGTCTTCCTGGCAGAAACCATAAAGATGATGAGCCTTGTACTGCTCACCCTGCCCTGTTTCTTTGCCAGTGGTAAGTTGATGTAGTGTACTCTCCTCCGACCCCTGCCTTTGGTGTCCTTAAAGATCCCTGGCATGCCAACAGGTTTCAGAAAGATAACAGCTTGGCCTTCTTAAGGTAGACATTGGCTGCATCATTTTTAAAGGTTCATCAGTTCAATGTCTGCAAAATGCTTCTGTACCTCCAAGAGATGGAAAGGAAATTTGGTGTGGACAAGTAATGGGGTGACAATCTTTCTGTTCTGTTTTCATAATTTTTTTTTCAGTTCCTGCTGAAACAGTTAGTGGGATGCTTTATAATCTCAGCAGAAAGAAAATGATATAGCCAATAAGGATAACTTGAAAAGAATCAGGACAACATTATAAATATGTGTTTTGATAACAATAAGGAATGCAAAACGATTCAGTTGATCTTTATTTAATAACAGAAATGTATATCAGTTTAAGATCGAAATAAATAGTGCTTGGAAATACATCGTATCGTCTGTTTACATGTGTCACTTTTTTTCCTTTTTCTTAGTCTCCGGAAATCTTCTTCCAACTTTCTGTTCCAACATGAGTGTCATAATATTACAGGAGGATCTGCGTATAGGTGTGTTTATTTTCTATTATTATCTTTAAGGAGATAAACTAGCTTTGGAGTCAAACCAAATGCCAACATCAGCTCTTTAGATACACTAAATGTTCTTATACAATTAGAATAACTATTGTGTAAATATTGATAAGATGTTTAGCAACAGCTAGTTGCTAAATCAGTGCGTTTTGCAACAACCAACAAGTGACTGATATAATAAATAATACACTCATATATACGTGAGTTTATCGTTTATATTGTATCAGTCATTTATTGGCTGTTGCTTAACATACTGGTAAGATTTTCTAATACACTCAAGTCTCTATGAGCGTATTAAAAACCCAGAGCCTATAACATCATGAACAGACTTGGGAGATTTATTCAGTGTGTTCTGTTACCCCCTGCATTATTTATTACTGCAAAATGCAGTTTCAGCTTGTCAATCAACAATAAGAAGAAAGTCACTGAATATGACAACAGGTAAAGATGACAGAATTTGACATGCACAGTATTACCCTTGATAGATAAAGAGGAGGCTGTGATGATAACATCCTACCGCCCCCGGTCATTCAGTGCTGTTAGATCCTGAATTCAAACTGCTGACCCAGGCAGAACTCCAAATACCTGCTGGACTTCAAATGTGCTCCACCCGAAGATCAGTCTCCAACTGGAAGGGATTTGAATGCTCTAGGATTTGTGTGTTTTCATAGACGTAGTGGCTAAGTGGCTGGTCTGCACCCCCTAGGTGAGAATCACAACATCAAAGGGCAGGTCCACTGGTGCAGGGTCACGAATGCTGTATAGCGATGAAGGGGGATGATATCAGTGTAATGCACTCTGATACTGTTAGCCCTTTTATAGTAGCAGACAGAGTATTGCTTTTTCTGGTTTACTGGAAACTGAGACCCAGAGCTTGTTAATGTCTATATAATGGGTGATGTCACTGAAACTGGGTGCAGATATGAGGATACTTCAATCCTTTAATCTTGTGCTTCCAATTGCAATTGCTGTGAACTGAAATGAAAATTGAAATGAAGGTGTTGTTATGAATGATTGATATTGTTCAATGTTTTTCAATGGTTGCGTATTGCACAAATGTAGTGGGGAAAGTAATCAAGCTATGTGAAGTTTCGGTTCAATGGGAAATTTTGGAATTTGTTTTCTTTTGTATAACAGGCGAATATGCTTTCACGATTTGTGCGACAGATGTGGATAGTACCGATTTAACATACTCAATTATTGGAGATAATTCATATTACTTTGAGGTCAATCAAAAGACAGGAGATGTAAAAGTGAAGTCTTCCCTGGACAGAGAAGTAAGTGCTACAAATGTTGACTAGTGTTACTTATTACAGATCTATTGATATGCACGGTGTAATATTATAAAAAGCATTTCCCTTCTTTATCATCATTATGTGTTGCTTTTTTGTTCTGTTATTAAAGAGTAGAGCAA